CTTGGTTTTTTGTGAAATTTGTATTACAAAATTACAAGTAAATGTGGTACCTTAGTTTTATTAAACAAAGCAAAGAATTAAATTCTCCAATGCGTTATTCGAGTAAATACGAACGAGTGAAGCGAAATTCGGACACGTAATTATGTACCATGTGAGTTGAATCTTCATTTTGACTCCAAAGGAATTCTAAAAACTTTCACACAGACACTGAGGAAAGATATGCTTATTACATGGAATACCTAAAACAGAACCAGCGAATCAAATGTAAGTGCTTTGACTTCTGAATTTTTATGAGTGCCATTTATTCTATGATTGTATTTAAATATGGTCTGTATATAACTGAGTTAGGTTAGGTAGTAATATTGGCGGAGTGAAAATGGGATTTGAACATATTTTTTTTTACAACCTTTTATTAAGTTTCCCCTATGTGTAATCAAATCTTGCAATTAATTTTTTACCAACTTCTCGATGAGCCAGAGGCTTGAAACTTCACACATGGCTCAGAACCCAATGACAATGGAATACGAAAATTTAATTAATACGCTAAGTGGCGCGGGTGTCGAGATATTTGAAAGCACCGTATTTATGATCCGATATGGTTCATATTTAGAACCTATTATATGTACTTAAATGGAAAAAATAACTTAAAAAAACTTAGCCGACGAAGTGCGGGTGTCGATTTTTCTTATTTATTAGCCATTAGTAAAAGCTTGTCTTTAAAAACAGTTTAATGTGGATCGTGAGAATATTAAATACATTACGTGGTTCGAATATTTACTCTTTCTCTCTGACGGCAGGGTTTCTCTAAAAGGACTTTGAAATTTAAAGATATGGTTAATTCAAAATATTATTTACAAAATTCAGTGCATTGTAGAATAATACTGTGGTTAACAAATAAAAGAGAAAATTCTGCAGAATTAAACTATATTAAATTTTTTGGTGCATAATGACGAGTGGGTATGGAAAATATCCTTTTAAAACTTTGTTGTTGTTGTTGTTGTTGTTGTTGTTGTTGTTGTTGTAGCGGCTACTAAGCCCCGTTCGGGTTGGTTCATCCATCAACGTTGTCGTCAATTTCAGCTAGGGGGAGGCCCAGGAAGTGTGCGACGTCCACAGGGGCTGTCCATAGAGACAGGGGCGTCAGCTGAGTGGGGTTCTCAGTGCATGTGAATAGGTACCGTGAGTCATGTGGCTACTCTCCACATGTTCTTCAATATCCTTGAAAATATGCACATATTTTTTTTTTAATGTATGCATATGTATGTTAAAGACTAATATTAGCACGGCCACATCGCCGAATTTCGTCCTGCTCACTTAATTAGCGTAAACAAAATAAATTAATTATAAGCGCATTTTCAGTACCTCGTTAACCAAAAACGTTTGATGTTTTTAAATTATACAGAATCTTCTCATATTGTCATTTTACATTGCACTGATTTTTTACGGCAGAGCTAAAATTTAAGAACGTAGTTTTGCTATCATTTTGTGTTTTGAATTTTTTGTTTTTGTCCCGCGGAGTTTTATATCATCTACACATACATATATATCCTGAAAAGATGAAAGGTGGTATTGTTAAAACAATAGTGTACTTTATAAAAATAATTAAAACCCACTGTTGTGATTTACCATATTTTATTACATAAATTCAGAGTATGATAATACATATTTCCTTTTTGTTTTTGCCTATACCCAGCATAAATAGGAATATAGCGAACACAACACATAAAATACATAATTACAGTGAATATTTACTTACATAAGTATGTATGTAGGTATATATAATTCAAATAGTATAATAAATACAAAGGATTGCAACTGCCTCAAAATTAGTTCATTTGTTTAAAATGTGTTAATTAAAAATCAACAATATTGAGCATGCTATTGCCATTATTGTGATTAATATTTGTGATACGTAAATATGTTTGTAATTATGTAAACTTAACACAACTCACTGTTTCAAGTAAAAGTAAATGTAAAAGTTTAAAGCTTTTAAGAAAGCCAGTTTAAATTCAGTTTCCAAGTTTGTTTACGCACATAGTATCTTAGTTATGTATTTATTTATGTACATATATGCGATTTGTGAAAATGTGTTTTTTAGGAATTACATATACATACATATAAGTGTGAGTTAAGATTAAGTGTTGAGTATTGTTGCGTAGGAATGTTTGTGTATGAGTATTTTGGTTTGTTTATTCTTTTTAATTTGAATTCTGTGCTGCTGTTTTCGCATCGTATATTACCGCGCATATGAGTTGTGAGATCAATTGAAAGCCGGCGAGATTCGGTATAATTTTTTATATTTATATATGATACTTAGCCTTAAAATTAGTGTCGTTTATTGAGTTAATCAATTCGCTTATTGTACGTAGATGCTTTATGGGACCTTGGTTTCTTACTCGTATTGAGAGCTGTGGTTTTTTTCTAAAGACATTCTACTTTTGGTAACCCATTTGGTAGTTTTTTTTTGTAATTTTTCTTCTGTTATTTATTTTTAATTACCTTTTTTTTTAATTACATTAACAGTTTCTTAAAAACGTTATTATAATATTAAACTCGGGGGCAGCTTAAGTTTTCTAAAATATTAAAATTTCCTTTCTTTACCTTTTTTGTTATGTTGTTAATTTTTATTTTAATATCAATGTTTGATTATAAGGTAGTAGTGCACTTTAGCGAAGGTAGGTCAAAATGGACGGAAAAAATTCGAGAGTGGTATCAATCGACGCGTCTTAACGCCAATAATAACAATCCGAGACAGGAAATTAAGATTTTTAATTCATTGAAAAGTTATTTGCAAAAAACACTTGCACTTTCCGCCTACGCAGAAAGGTGTTCTCTGCAAAAGGTGTTCAGCCCCCCTTCTTTGGAACACAGAAAGGAGAATTCTACTGCCTGAGGGTTATAATCCCTAAGCGCGGCCGAAGGCCGCCTACGCAGAAAGGTGTTCGATGCACAAAAACATTTTTAATAGAGTGGCAGCAGCAATCTAGTTCCATTTTATTTTTAATAGAGTGGCAACACTAGTTTTTCTCCATGTTATTTATATTAACTACCCAAGATTGTGCAGATTTTCATCATCGGAATATTGCTATTAAATACAGAATTTCGCGAAAGTGTACACTTAAAACATCACAAATGTATAAAAACTAATAAATACGTGTTAAATTAAGTTCATTTCTTCCTTTCATTTGTGTGAAATTCATCGAAACATAGTGCGGAAAGTGCAAGTGTTTTTTGCAAATAACTTTTCAATGGATTAAAAATCTTAATTTCCTGTCTCGGATTGTTATTATTGGCGTTAAGACGCGTCGATTGATACCCCTCTCGAATTTTTTCCGTCCATTTTGACCTACCTTCGCTAAAGTGCACTTTTACCGATTATAAAATTTCTTATTCATAATTTAATGCGTAAAGCGTTTACTTACATAATTTATTAATAACTGATTATTTGTTAGAGCGCAAGCATATTTTCGTTTGTTTTAGTTCGCTTTGACTAGGAAATTTAGTGTTACAAAGATTCTTTTATAAAAAAACACATGTACAGGTTTACATGTATTTTATAAAGTCCCTTCTTTGGATAGAATCTAAATGAGGAATAACCAAAGGCGGTAGGACATCGTAAATCTGCTGCTATGTATTTCCGTGGCAAGTTTCGTATAGCTTTTTAACTACGCCAAAAACTTGTAGCTGTTTAAATTCTTATTTTTCAAATAATATTTTTCATAAAAAATAAAGTAGGTCTAAGGAGCTTTATAAAGTGACATTTTCATAAAAATTTTCTATTTATAAAGCATTTAAAGTCTTCTTTATTTTTTATGAATTTGGATGTTAATCTACAAATTTTTTTTTCCGCCAATAGCTATAGACGCGCAACAAAGAAAAGTCGAAAATACTAACACAGTTTCAAGCATAAAAATAAACTCCAATCCTCCATGAAACTTTGCAAGTAGAGTTATCGATACATATTGTCAGTGACTAAGGCTAAGCGCATAGTGGAGCGGCGAGCAAAGAGTATCGAGCAAAGCTTCAATTACACACGTATTTTTTTCAATGGGAGCGCACATATTTATTTAGTGAAGAGCAAAGCGTACATACACGTTTGTAATTGACGCTTTGCTCGATGCTATGCTCGCCGCTCCACTATGCGCTTAGCCTAATGCATCATTCAAAGATTTTTACAACCATATTTCTCTCTTATGATATACCGTTATATTTAGGTGCGTATGATTTATATTTTTAAGTATTTTATTAAATGCTGTGAAGTTTGATTTGATTTGGTATTTTTTGGTATTCTTCGCGCACCTGATTGCACTTAGATTTTAGTTCGCTAAATCAATATGACATTGAGCCTGAAATTAAGCTCTTTTTATGTACCCTTTTATCGCTACACTTTCCATTTTCCTAAGCCTTATTCTTTCGCAGTCCTTTTCTTTCGTGTCCCCAGCACAATTCTCGCTTCGTTGTATATATGTATGTATTGTAATAGTATATGTTTATATTACACATACATAAATATATTCAACGCCATTTGTTTAAACGCGAATTATGCCCTCAACTGCCTGTCTTTTCACCAACAAAATAACTTCACTTCCTTCGCTTCACTGCTTAGCTCCTCCACCTGGACCATAGGATGAGGCATCACTTATGCGACGTGTTAAAGTTGCCTTGCGATTTAATGTGGCCGATGAGTGATTGGATTGCAGTGTATTGGTACTTAAATGATGATTGGAACGATGTGAAGGATAGTAGTTGAGTGGTGCCATATTCGGATTATCGATGCGTGTTGGTGACGAAACTACGGGGCGTGGTGAAACACGTTGTAAAGTATTGATTACTTCCTGTGGTTCTTGATATCCAGAATCCAAGTCATCATGATACGAATCCATAAGTGGCGTGGGGTCTTCATAGTCATAATCCACGAAGCCATTGTTGTCGAAAGACTGAAAAAACGTTGCAATATTAAAGTCATTTGAGTTACTGGTTTCACACTGAGGTAAAACCCACGTATTCAGAACAAATTGTAAAACAAACATTTTTAAAATAATTTTACTTGTTTTTATTTGAAAACGCATATTTTTGAACATACATAAATTAAACATTTTAGAATTTCATCTGAATTTGAGAATTTTCAAATAACAAACGATCGGTTTCAAAAGCGATTTTAATATGTTCATATTAAAAACTAAAATATAAATTTTAGAATATGAATTGGGCATGTTTTTTTCTCAAAACAAAAATAAATATTGTAGGTGCAAAACCTGGGTCAAACGTTTTTAAAAATAAAACGTTCCATACAAATTTGAAAACGTAAATTTCTCTGGGCAACTTTGATTCAAGTTTAACGCTCAAATCTTACTTTTTTTGCTGTATAATGTTTGTTTGGATTCCAAAAATGCATACAGCTGTACTGCATTCATACGAAACAAAACTTTTTTTGCTAACTGAGTTTTTTATTCACAGAAATAAATTTATGAGTCGTCGCTACAAAACGATATTAGCTAACAGCGAATTGTGCGTGGAAACACGTTATAAAAATGCATATACACACAGTTATGGGAAAAATAAGGACACAACACTTTGACCAGTTTTGGCTTTTTTATGCAGAAATTAAAAAAAAAAACGCAACAACAAACTTTTTATAACTTTTTTTTAGAAAAATTCGAATCATGTAGTTTGTAGCCCCTTAAATTCTAGTAATACATGGAAAATTTCAAGCGTCTAAAACGCGAGACAGACGGGCATGCTTATGCAGATTAACTAGCACACAAATGCACATAATAATTTTGCCCTGACAGACGGCAGTAATGCGGATTAACGAACCGCAAATGCGTGGGTTCGAGTCCCATGGCCAGTAGAACTTTCATTTATTACTTTTTTATTAATTTTTTTTATAAGTTCTGTATTATTTTTAACGTTGCTTTCAGTTTGTTGTTGACTTTTTTAATAAAATTTAACACTAAAAAATTAAATTAACTAATAGTGAAATAAAAAACGTGATATAAACTAAAACAAATGAAAATAAAATAAAGTAAAATTATATAATGTAATGTGGAACGATTTTCCGTCATCCCTTGTCAAATTTGGTTTGGAGACAAACCGGTTTCGGCGTTGTGCCATCTTCAGTGTCATTTTTCGTAAGATTATATATATTTATAAGTCAAATAAAATGTAAAAAAATAAAAAAACAATAAAAACAAAAAAACTTGTAGCACGCAACTCTCCCCACTCGGCTACCGCGCACCAAATTCGCTTTCTTTGTTTGCCTATTTGTAAAAAAGACAAGGGTTAAGTTTCAAATTTTTCTTAAACCGACCTTTGAAAAAAGTTCAAAAATAGCATCAAAAATCTCATTACTATGATTCCATTGAAACACTTTTTAAATGTTTTTGTGCGAAGTTTTAAGCTTAAACTGTTTTGTCATCTGAGTTGATTTTTTCAAAAAAATACTTAAAAAAAATTTGCAGTCATAAATCCAATTTCGGAGGTATTTTCAAATCGGTCCAGCTCACGTATATCTTCATATTTGTCCAAAATATTTTGGCGCAAGTCTTAAAATATAATAGATTTTATAATTCCAATGGAAAGACAGTACCTTTTTTTTGTATGGGGAGTGATGCAGTCTAATGTACATACATTACAAAAAACCCAACCAACAAACATAATACGTGGTTGCCTTACCTTCACCGGTACACGCTTGACATATTCACGATACGTTGGATTTGGCACTTTTGTACGATAATCCACCACTTCATAGTGGCCATCTTGTACAACATTCCCATTTGCCACTGGATAGTCTGAAATAAAGTGTCGCGTGCCGTGCGGGGTAAGGGTGGCCCATAGTAAGCGGCTATCGTTTGCCAATTGCGTCTGCAAAGTATCGCGATTGTTGGTCGTAGTGCAGGGATACAAAATACCACCAGCCATAAATGGATTGGCTTTGGTTGAAGATTCACCCAAAGCGCCCATGCCACTCTGTTTGATATTCGAATCGTGATAGGACAAATTGCAACTGGAAAATAGAGTGCTGCAATAAAGAGTTATATTACTTTTATAAAGTGCAATGCAATGCAAAAAAATTATTTAAACAACAACAAAAAAGAGCACACATATTTAGATATGTGTCTCTCTTATACTTACTCTCTGCATTTGAGCAATATGACTGCCAAGAGGCCACCCAAAATTAATACACCAACGCAACACGATATTAAGACAAAGAGCCAAGTGTTCTCCAAGCCTTTCGAATCGACACCAGTCAATTCGACAAATTCGATGCCACCACTTTCGCGTGGATTTGGGCTGGGGTCGCACAAGAAGGGCGCAAAGCATGGATGAGTGTCGTTTGTTGGTACTGCGGCCGCTATAATGGCTGTGCGCGGCAGCAGAAAGGACGGCAAAGGGGGTGGCGGCATGGAGAGTATGGAGTCAGGCGGTGGGCCTGCATAGTTGCAATTGCCAACGCAGCTAGCAATCATTTTCGTCGACTGTTGAGTGAAAGAAAAAAAGTGAAAAAGAACACACAACTTTTTTTTACTTGTACTTTAAAGCAAATAAATATAATTATTTTTGTTGAAGTCTCTTCTCTGCCATTAGCACACCAATAATTTACCTGTGCAGGAAACACGATTACATCGTAAAATATCGATCGAGTATACACTTGAGGCAAATTGGCAATTAATTTTCACTGCAAAACTGAAGTGTGCGCAGGCATTTCAAAAAACTTTCCACGCACATTTTATAAGCACAACAATTTATTTATACAATGGACTTACCCTTTTTATTTAATATTTCGATTTTAATAGCAGAAGAATTATATTTTTAAGCAAAAGTAATTCTAGGAAAAACTAAGTCGTACTGCACTGCTTGTAAAGGAACATCTAACTGTGAGATTTGAGAAAATTCTGTATCACTTGAAACTGTAAGCTGTAAGAGAGTGTCCTGTGTGAGAGCGGGCGGTTGTGATTGTTTTCATTCTGTACAGTATTTTTTTACAACGACTTTCGCGTAATGTTTTTTTGAATAGAAAACAGTTTGCAGTAGTTATTTTTTTTTATTTAATATTACTTTTATATCTACTACTTGCTTTTGTGTAATTAGTACAACGCTGCATTAGTATTATATCGAACTGAGTGTTGCACACTTTGTAAATAAATAATAACAATGATTGCAACCCCTATAAGTATGCTTTGCTAACATACTTTTCCTTCCTTCTCTTTTTGCGGCTGTCGTTGTATGCAGTGCGCATGTGCTGCATGGAAGCAGGGTGGTTAGAAGAACGTGATTTTTTTTTTTATGTACACTTACGTGCAAAACGTGAGCGACTTTTTGTCGTAAGCTAGGAATTAACATTTTTGGGATTTTGGAGGCTTTGCCAATTTTTATTTATGGAGAAAATGAACACCTTCCACAAAAAAAAAATATAATAATTGCCAAAAATCAACGGGAAGTTACTTAAAATAGGGTAAAAAACTGCATACTCGGAAACCTTATTCAAAAGCTTAAAAATGTTTAGGAAATTTCGTCGAAGTTTACTACTTTTTGTACAAGGTTTATAATTTTACTTCCATGGTTTTTGTTTGGTAACAACCTACACTTTCATTAAAAAATAGGTTTGTTTCTTTACTTTCCTAGCAGATAATTATCAGGAAGAAGAAGAGTGGGAAAATTTAAAGAATTGCGCTCACTGTCAATTAGTTAAGAAACGCAAACTAGCAGAAACTAGGAAGTCAACAGCTGATCGGTGTATTTGACAAATGAAAATACTTGCGCGATTTTTTTATTTGCTTTTTACATTTCATAAGTATTCAGTTTGCAATATTTCATCAATATTTAATGACACTCTCTTTCTTATTAACAAAATGCTAAAAATATGCAGATTAAAACAAATAAAAGCAATTGTGGTTAACCTCACTTCTTTACGTTTCAATAGCTGTTTGTTCATTTTTACTAGCAGAAGAGGCAAAAAAGTAAGAGCGTAAGAGAGAGCTAGAGCTTCCAGTTTCTGCTAGCTTTTTTTTGGATTGAGAAACGCTTTCCAGCAGAAATTAGTGATAAATGTGTTTTTAAGAAACAAACTTAATATTAAACTATAATGGGTCTTCCCTATTTTTATTTTCTCCGCTGTACATTACACCGTACCAACTTACTAGCAAATCAAAACGAAGTCGCTGAAGACCCCTAGGTCTGAAGTATTTTTGCCAGACAATTAAAAGAAATTTATTTTGGCCGAACCTAGGGATCGCCTTTTTACACTTTTCGATAACACATTCTTTCGACAAAACAAAAATTTAAACAGTTTTATTGGTAATATCAAACTACTTAATTAGCAAACGTTTAATGATTTGAGGTGAGCTTTAATTTCCTGACATTAGGATGCTACGTAAGGCCTTAAGAACTGAGATCTGGTAGCTAATTACTAGCACGAGGTACTTGAGGGAAATAAACTTCAGAACAAAAAATGTTTCTCCTCAAGATAAAAACATTCATGTATCATACTCTAAGGCCGAATACCTGTACGTTCGGTCAAAGCTTTGATTTTTTTTTTGAAAGTGCCCTGAACTATTTTTGGTTTGCTGGAAAGTGGTGCGGTTTAATGCACAATAAACGTATACAGCTTATTTGAAATTGAAACTGCTTGTCAAAAGTGCTCGCCAAAAAGTGCTTCTGCACTTGGTCCTCCTGTTATTTCCTTTTGCGCTCTCGCTTTCACTGTCTATTCATAGAAGCAAAGTCGAAGGCTTATTTCACCGGATCATCTTTCTTGATGCGCAGGACATAATTTTATACGCGTAACTACATATGTATGTCTATGTCGTTAAATAGCTCGTACAGTTCGTCATTTCATCTTCTTCGAAATCCGTCGCCCACATGAACAGGTCCATAGGTATTGCGTAAAATAAATAGTTCCCTGAAAAGTTCCAAATTCTTCTCATCTTTGTTCGACATTGTCCACAATATGCCACACATCTTCTCCCCGCATTTCCTGCAAACATCGCTGACAAAAATTTCCAAATGCGCGGCTATAATAGATTATGTTCTGTATGGGCGATAGTCTTGATTTTGCAGTCTCTTCGTGATATAAATCTTCGAGAGTATAAATTTGGTTTATGCTCCTTCGTCTGGTTTTCATATCCACGTCAATTTTTCTTTTCTCGCACTAAGTTAATTCCTCATTTGGAAACTCAATCCACTATTTCGTTACTTGAGATGCCATTGTGACCAGGAACCCTGTAAATGTGCCTTCGCTTCTTTCGCACTAAAAAATTGTATCTGAATATCATTGAAAATTTGCAATATTTATTTTCGAAAAAAAACATATGTATATATGTAAAGGAGTAATATACACATGACCAGGTACTCGAATTTCGTCCTTCTAACTTTATTAGCTTAAAAATATAAATAAATAAAACGGGCATTTTCAATACCTAGTCGTTCTTGTGAATCAAAAAGCGTTGGATTTTTTAATTCTACGGAATTTTCTCTTTAATTTAGTACCCCCATTGATATTCTACATTGCATTGAATTTTTCAAATAACTTTTTCAAAATATATCTTTCAAATTTCAAGATTCTTTTAAAAAATCCTGACTTCAGAGAGAAAAACTAAAAACGCATTTATATTGATTGTCTAGATTTTTTTTTGTTTTGTCGCACGTAAATATACATATGTATACATAAGTGAAAGTAAATTGTCTGCCCTATTAGGAAATGTACAATGTGAAATATGTGTACATATGTATATACATACATCAGTATATCGCAAATAATGGAGAGATAAGCGCCAATCAGGCTCCGAGGAAAAAGCTTTTCATTTCATTCATATTTACAAGTGGTTCATATAATGAAAAAGTCGCTTTGTCTGCCATTTTATTCATATGTAAGTATACATATGTATGCCTCTATAGGCATGTACGTAAATAGATGCATGTACAATTTTGTATACATACATACATGCCTACCTTTCATTTATAAGAAGTAAATAATGCTACGAATTGACTGGACATGACCAAGGTCAATAAAGTCAACACTCGTTGATTTATTCAAAAACTACCACAACTCAAAAAACGGAATATTCGAGCTAGTGATGCAGAATTACTCGTTATAAACTGGTGGCCACGCATAACTTACCACCACTTTTTTTTTAAATACCCAATAAATATTTAAGTTTGAGCTCAACTTGAGGTTAAGTAGAGAACTAAGGTTTTTCTCAAATCTCGAACGTTGTTTCTCAACAGCGGATACTTCAAGTGGTGGATAATAGTGTTGTTCTCAACTTGACCTCCAATGTGATTCTCCAATTGGTCTCGAACATATCATTGAAATACTGAAATTAAAATAGTTAAAAGATTTAACCTTTTTGATTGAAACGACATAGATAAATTTAAATATTTATTTTTTATTTTTTTACTCTTTTTGGAATATGTAGTTAATCAATATCGCATTACACATAAATCGTATTCACAGTCAAGTTTTCAGTCATCCGTCTACAGTCCGACAGTAAGTCTACAACTTGATTCACCTTCGCGTTTTATTTTCATTGAAGACATTGGGCCGTATGCATAAAAACTAAGAAATTGCTTTTTCTTAAAATTTCATACCTTTCACTTATTTTTTCCTTGAACAAATCGAGTAAAAGGTTTGAAATTTTAAGAAAAAGCGTTTGCTTAGATGCAAACTTCTTTAACCTCAAGTACCCCGTTCTGGTACTTACCCTCCAGATCTCAGTTCGTATCAGCCAAACGTATCTCCTTAACGTCAGTAAATTAAAGCTCTTCAAGCAAAAAACTTCTGCTAAGGAAGTATTTTAGTTATTTTAGTTATTCCAGTAGGACTATTTTAATGTAAGATGTTTTATTGCCGAATGTATGTACAGTGCCAGCGAAAAATGTAAAGAGACGACCACTAAGTTCGGCCGATAATTTTGTTTTCGCAGTTGTCTTGCAAAAATACTTTATACTTGGGGATTTACGGCGTACTTTTTTTGTTTGCTAGATAATCTAAAAATACTCATATATGTATGTATATTTACTTATTCTTAAAAATTCTGGTTAATTTTTTTAGCAGTACTGGATTTAACATTCATATGAAATTGTACAAAAAAAAAAAGTTTTTAATAACCGCCCCTAGTTAAAAGGTTTACTTCGTGAAAATTGTTGGCGTCATACAAAATTCTTTGAGGTATATATAGCACCAAAACTACTATTAAATATACCTCACATTCAAATCGGTATACAAATAAGAGTTATGAATATAACGTGATCTTTCATGGCCACCTTCTTGGACATTATGTTTAAAAATCACTAGACACACATACGTATGTATGTACTAATGCACATAAGACGCTCACTGAGACATTCACTTTTGATTCTAAACAAAATTCAACGCCCATACTAATTTAAAGGCATTGTTTGGGGAGAGTTGGGAATATACTTCTTTAAAAGTGATTTATTTTCCAGCAGGGAGATTAACAGCAGGAGATTAAAATGCATTAAAATAACCTATGAGTCCGAT